GAGTTTGCCTGCACAATATTAGGAGAGGGGGAAATAAACCAAAACAGTGAACAAACACCTTTTTGAGATCTTTTAAGATCTTATTTCTTGAATTTCAGTATGTGGAAACACACAGCTGATAATCGTAATATAATCATTTTGTTTTTTGAGCATGTATATGTTACAGTAACTGATTTGTATTATGGTTGGTACCTCAATTGAAGAGGAGATGGTGTTTAGTGGCTTTTAGGTATGTGGGAGAAGTATTTGTAGGAGAAGGGAGAAAGAAGCGACTAAGTGGTACATGATGAAATGCGGAAATTCATACAGGAAACAGTTATGTGGAAAAGAGGCATGAGAAAGGTGTGAGAGGTACCAAATAAAAAGGAAAATAAACTCTTAAAACACTTAGAGCATTAAAATAACAAACAAAACATGAAGAAGGAAACACACTCCTGGTTTTAAGGCAGTTATTGTACTTGCCAAAGATTTACATAGTGTTACAATGAGTAGCTCATTAAATAATGCTTTAATGGTGTACTGTAAACGTGTTCACTGAAGTGTACAGGCAGTGATGGACTTCATGGATTTCCATTAGCTGAACTCTAGCTTCTTGTCTTGAGAGCATAGTTCATGCTGAGCTGAAGCTGTTAGAGTGCTGGTTAAGTACTTTCATGCTTTCTACAAAAACATTCAGCTACACAACTACATTTCTAGCTTTGTGCTGTCATATGCTACGCTGGTGCTGTATGGGTCTCTGGTGCTACTGATGATCTTTTCTCTTTTTCATGTGCTCAGTACCATGCTCCTTATAAAGTGAAGGAGTACAACCTGCTATGGTTTGTACAATGATGACCTAGAGTGAGTGGAGCTCTAAGAAGATACTTTGTCTGCTTAAATTATTTTCCCTGGCTGGGTTTTAATGCATTCTTTTACTTATAGCCAGAAGAAATGTATGAGCAAGCTGCTGGAATACAGTGCAGATGTCAACATTTGTAATAATGAAGGCTTGACTGCGGTAAGTGCTATTGCTTCTCATGATGCTCTTAAAACAAATGAAGAATTTGAAGATTCTCATTGCTTAAGCTGCTGCCATCTTGGATGTAAATAAACAAAACTGCTATGTGTCTAGTGCCCTTAAGAATCAAAAGATGTGGTCAAAGTACCTAAGCATCTGGTAATATTATTAAAAGCTTCTTTTTATGAAAACGTTGACAATAGTACAGTCAGGTTTAAAAGAATATTTATGAAATACTTAAATCATTGCTAAAGGAAACATCCATGTTGCCATTTTGTACTTAGATTCATTGGTTGGCTGTCAATGGACGAACAGAATTACTTCATGATCTTGTTCAGCATGTCACTAATGTAGATGTTGAAGATGCAATGGGACAGACAGCCCTTCATGTGGCTTGCCAAAATGGACATAAGACAGTAAGTTTCTAAATTTTATTAACAGATTGGATTTGTAAGGAATTGGGTAACGCCTCAGTGTTGTGTGTGGTTTTTTTTATAAACTTCAGGCTAGTCTTGCACATGATCATGGTTAGAAGTGTGAAGAACTCTAGTGTTTGTTGTAGTATTGACTGTATATGCTTCCATGGGAATAACTAATTTATTCCTGTGGAGATGATTGATCTTGGTGTTTATGGGAGTTTAAGTGACTTACAGTATACTATTCAGCTGTTTGTAGTACTATTATTGCCTTTTTGATTGCAGATTTTGATGTAATGTTAAACCTTTGAAAATGTTCTTCCTTACTTTTTAGGATGTGTTTGATTCATAATTGTACCAGGTATTATGTGCTTTGGAAATCTGAAATGATCTTTATTTGCTGTGAATTAAAAAAAGAACACAGAATTGGGTCAGTTAGATATTTAACATTAGAAGTAAACAAGTTCACATAGACTTTTCTTTTATTGATCTGTGTGAATAAGTTTTAAGCCTGGCATTGCATTAGAGCTGACTATTTGCTGTCAGAGTATAGGTTTGGGTGAGTTACTTGAACTGCGTTACAGCCACGTAAAGTAGTGATCTTGATTATACAGATTGTCCCCAGGACTATTTACTGTTAAAAAAAAAATATCTTTCTACCCAGATCTTTTCTGTTGTCATTGTCAGAGCTTGACTTTGGAAGACCAAATTCTGAGCAACTGTTATCTATAGACTTATCTACTTTATGTGACTGGAATATAGCAGAAGTTATTTTAAAGTCTGCTCAATGTTTCCGTATTTCAGAAATTCCTTACTTATTTCTTTTGTTCTAGTGTGTGTTTAAAACTTCAGCTTGTGATAAGGCTTTTTATGGCTGTCACTAACTTGAGGTTTACTTCTTTAAAAAGTGCCGTTTTCCTTTTTAAATGGCTTGTAGTTTCAGCAGTCTTTGGGATTAGCTGAAGTTCAATAAATGGCATTGTTATTAAAACGTTAAGTTCAAAGGAAGCTTTGAGCTCTGACAGCCATGATTTTCCATATAGCGTTTAGGAATCTTGGTTTTGAGAGTCATTACTGGAAATTAAATCTTTCAGTATAATTAGATATGCATGACACTAAATAGTTGCAAGCCATTAGACTTTTCTGTTCCCCTTTTTCTAATGCTGGTGTTTTCTTCTGTTCTAGACGGTGCAGTGTTTGCTGGACAGCGGTGCGGATATAAACAGGCCGAATGTGTCGGGGGCAACTCCGCTCTATTTCGCTTGCAGGTATGTATTCTTAAGTTTTGAATGCTGTGCTAAAAGGGAAATTGATTTTATTGTTCTTTCCCTTCTGCAATAACAATGATTGGAAAGCACAAAATTTAGGAAACATAGAAGCTGACTGGTATTTAATCTTGCCTCGTGTTTGAATGTAGTTTGTGTCTCATATAAATACGTACCTTAGTACTGCAGGTTTAGATACCTCTTTCTAACAGGCGTGTTAAACACGTAGCCGTGCATGTTCTAGCATGAATCATAAATCAATGACTGCTGAAATTTTTTCTAAAAAAAATGAAATCTACCACCTTAGATTATTTTGAGTAAATTAAAAATGCAGCCATTTATAAGGCAAGTTTGACTATTCTTTAGTGTACGTCATGGTATTACAGTGTACATAAAATGTGAATATATGCCTTAAAGTTACGACATTAAATTGAAATTATATTGTCACTTTGATCAGTTCTGTTTTCTTCACAGTTTAGTTTTATTTCAAAACCAATCACGTATGATAAATGACCTTTTGTTTTAATTGGAGCATTTCTGCTATTTGGTATAACACTTAGAATTTTGTAATCTCTGTGCTTTGGTTATAGGTTAAATAGTTCACCTATTATTAAATGTTAATGTAAACAAAAGGAGAAATGGTTTGACCTGGTGGCCTGCCAAGAGTTATGTTGTAGGAGCCTTGGTCTCTGGAGTTAGTGTATGTGCCGACTCCTGGCAGTTCAGAAGGGGAGAATAAATAGCTGCTAGCTAATTGAATGCCTTAGTGCTTGATTTAGGGACTGGTATTGGCATCCACTTTAAAAGAAGTAAGCAACTTACCTCGGCTTGGAGGTTTTACATGGGAAGGATATGTGTTGCAAGTACAGCAGTGATGTTCTTCTAGCAATTAACAGTTGGAACAGCTGGCAGGATAGAATGAACTGGGTGCATAGCAGAAACCGTGTCTCCTTGTCAGAAGTACCAATTGGTGGTGCTGTCACCGGGAAGAAAGGTTATAGGTTCCTGATGACAGGGAGAGCAGGATGTGGTAGCAGTGACTGGTGATGGCTGGAGAAAGGGTACTGGTGCTCAAAGTCTGACTCTGAAAGCCCTATTTTTTTCAAGGTGTTGAGTTATGCCCTTACTCTAGAGAATTAGAGTGAAGAAATGCTTCAAGTAGGCTGTTAGTCTTAGCTGCTTTCTGAGATCTGGTAGCTGACTCTGAATGCTTGTTTTCACTGGGGCGAAGTCGGGTATGTTAGAGTAACCTGTTGGTTTCCTGGACTGGAAGGACGTGGGTGGAGAGAACTCACTTGGGAACTATGGAGACCAGTGAAGCTACTTCTTGCCCCTCAGCTGTTGATTGTCACTTTTCTTCTGCCCTTCCTGAACTGTTCCTTGGTGTGTTCCAGGACAGCAAATATTAATATTCGTTTGTGTAAGGAGTGCACTGCAAACTAGCTTGCAATCTGAAACTCTGTTGAAAAACTTGTATCCACAACCTTAATTGCTATGTCTCTTGTATCAGTCTTTTGGTTCACCTTTTAGACATGCTTCTGTACTAACATTTGTCAGTATATGCACTAAATATTGGTGAAATCAAGTCAACTTGTCCTTCAATCTGTTGTTAATAAGTCAGCATCTAATCACTGGTGCCCAGTTTCTCATTTTCTTCAGAAAAAAAGGTGTTGGAAAGTATATGCTCTAGGTATTGAGGGATATAAATGTTTTATGAGGCTAGGCTAAGATGAATTATTTCTGAATGGTGAGGGTGACTCTGGCTTGATAAATAGGCCATACCTAATTTTATACTGAAAGGTAGTAGAAGAATATAAGTGGCATTATCTTCCATCCAGTGTTTCTTCTTGGTTTCATACTGTAACTATTTGTTTTCTCCTTACTTATGTTGATTTTGTTTGTTAGATGTAACAAAACCAGATTTATCACTCATAGTGGAGCAAAAGTGCTGTATTAATTCTCTTTCTTCTCTTCCTTTGAATAGCCATGGTCAGAGAGACACTGCACAAATTCTTTTGATGAGAGGAGCCAAATACTTACCAGATAAGAATGGTATTACTCCACTGGATCTCTGTGTACAGGTATTGAATTAGCAACACTTTTTCTGTGAACTTCTATCACTTACTGCAGTGTCCTCATTAGTATTATCTTTTCAGTTTTAAGGCCTGTGAAATATGGTAGTCTTGGCAAAACAGAAATGCAATTTAATTGCAAAAAACTTATTTTTGCACATAATTTTTTGGCAGGTTCCCAATTTGTACCCTTTGCAAAAGTCTTTAAAGATGTCAGTGAGGTCCCATTAAAGACTTTGCAAGATTGGAGCTCATAAGAAACAAAGAATTTGCAGAACTCCATTTGACTAGAAGGTTTGAGAATCGTTGCTCTAACGGCAGTAGACTCTAAGTGCTTAACTGTTAACAAGTAAGAGGTAAAGGCATACAGAAAGGAGTGATTTTGTTCATCTCAACTGATATATTTCTTTATCTCTTGAAGAGATATTACTAATAAAAAACAACAAAGTTGGTGATACTGACTCTTACTTTTCAAAGGTATTCCAAATACTGTATCTGAATGATGAACAAGGAACAAAAGTCTAAAGCATTTTCTACTGCTATGCAAAATGCAGTCTTTCTTGCATGATGCCAAATATTGTTTGTACTGCTTGCTATCTTTTTGTGATTTGTGAACACTTGCATGTTTTTCTGTAGGATCAATTTAAAGTCGGTGTGTAAATAATATGTAATGAATGAATGGAACCTTTTGCTAGTAACCAGCAGACTAGAGAACTATGAACTAGAGACTGAAAAAAAAAAAATCACTGCACTTACTGGACATCATATTACTTACAGCAGTTCTTTTCAAATATGAGAAATCCTAGTAAGTCCTCAACTCCGATCACTCGATGTGCCAAGTCACTGTACTGTATCACTTCTGACTCAACTGTGAAGCTCAGAGTTAGATTTTTCTCTTTATTAAGACAAATTGACTTACCGTTAAAACCACATGAAGTCTATTCAATTTTGAGGCTTCTTTTAGCTGCAGACCTGTAAGAAAGTATACCAGTGTGTACTTTATGGTACTGTTCTTAGTTTTTATGATTAGTGTTTTGAATGTCTGCTTCAATCTCCTGATCTCTGAGACACCACTTTATACATCTAAATTCTGTCAACTTTTTTTAAATGTGAGTAGTGACACCTGGTGTTTGCTCTTTTGTAGTGATGATTGTATTATGTTCAAGATCATCTAGTTTACAAGCTTATGGTACTAAGTAGAAAGAGAAAACAAAACATTTTATTTCCTTTTACATCAAGGATTTTATTCTTTGCTTACAGGTTTGCTTTTCAGAGCAGATACATGTTTTTAGAAGATTGAAATTATAGATTCATGTAGTTCTTGTCAACATGATATTACATTGATTTTGAAGAGCTGACTTTCATTAATTCTGGTGGATTCCGAGTGCTTTCAAGTTTAGCACTCAAGTTCATGGCACCAGGAACAACTGAATGAATCTGTTATCATTGAAGCAAGTTATGAACTGTTATTGAAAGAGAAGTACTGTTACTGAAAGAGAAGGAGCTTCTGGAGTTGCAGCATTTAATACATTACATGGTCATCTTGCCAGTGTAGAATTTGATGTGTGTTCAAGCGTTAGATGACTGCTTAAAAATGCAGGTGTGTTAAATAAGAGTTGATAAAAATAAACCACAAATTCAAGTTCTGTTCTTTCAAAAAAACCCCTAACCCCTCCCGCAAAAGCCAACCATTTTTCTCAAAAGCTTATGAAGTTAGTCTGAGCTGTTGATCTGAGGCACAAGTGGAATCACACTTGTGTATTAATTTTAAAGTTAAATAACCCTTTCATGAGTTTATCCTATCTCTTCCTTTAGAGAGTCAGATTTGTGCCTTGTGAACATTTAGAAAAATACTTGTTTTGAAGGATTAGATTCTGGATGTAATTAGGTAGACATGTGTCATCCATCAGCAATGGGAAGAGAAGCTAAGCGTTGTGCTGGTTTTAATCTCTGATAAATCATTGAGGGAAGTATTGTTCAAATGTAACTTTGGCTTTCTAAATAGGAAAGTGTTTCAAAAAAAAGGAGAAAGGGAGTGGATATACGTGAGCCAAGATACTGAAATAATTTGATTCCATTGTCTCCCAAATGTTTTGTATCTAATCACGGTATGTTATTGAATTTCACTTTATTTTAGGATTGGATTTCTCCATTCATCATTAAAAAACTATATTTGTAATCCTCACTAGGTTCTAATGCCTTCATAGTATAAAACCCAATTCTAATGTTTCTTTTAATTAAAATGGTTTTTGAACTATTGCTTTTTAGGGTGGATATGGAGAGACTTGTGAAGTCTTAATACAATATCATCCTCGACTTTTCCAGACAATAATTCAAATGACGCAGAATGAAGATCTACGGGAAAACATGGTAATACAGTATTGTGTGTCTTATAGTTACTGATCTGTCTGCGTTGTGGACATCTGACTGCTTAATATGAGTGTCCTGATTAGAAGATACTACCAGCAGGTGACTGTCGGTGCCACAGTAGTTGACCACTATGTACTTTTTGTTCCGCCATGGAAAATACAGAGTCTTCACATCGTTTTAAGCACAAGAATTTGGGATTAAATGTAGGATCTATTTTAATTTAGTGTTCTATCTTTGCAAAGCGATCTAGACAGTGTAAGAATTGAAAGAGCGGACTTCTTGCAAGTTTCAATACGAAGGCGCTGGTAGAGTATTCTATATACACAGTTACTATATATATATACATAGTATTCTATATATACAGTTACAGTAATGGTGCCTATTTTCCTTCATTTAGTGGTTATCTACAGATACCCATTCTAGGATGTGTCTCGAGGCTTGAATCATCTAGAATGAACTTGAACATTTGGAGTCTGAGCACTCATCTGTGTGAAGCTGCCTTGTACAATTAGGGTGTAAAAGATTGCAGCTGCAGTTTCATTTGGTCATTATTGCTGGAGATGAAACTGTTCTGTTCCTTTTTCCATGGTTCTTCTATACCTTGTTTCTTTTATTCTTGTGGGGTAGCACAATCTAAAGCAAAGAAAAAGCAAGGAAAAGACTTTGTTTCTTGATTGTGTAGGGGGAAGGAAGCATGGGGTGCTTTTTTCCCCTTTAAAATCTAGCTAGCTGTGGGTTTTTGATATATTGTTTGCTTGAAAGTTACTGCAAACAATCTTACAGACTGTAAATCTGAAAAGAAAAAAATAGAGTAGATTTAGGAAGGTATTAGCTGCCACTTCACTGAACTTGGTTTGCTAGATTTTTGAAGTTTTTTTGTTCTCTGCAATCCCATTATTTTCACTTACAAGACTGAGGATTTATAAGTCTTTTTGAGTGTTTAAATTTCTGAGACAGGGTTTGAGTTTTACAAAGGAAAATGTCAGAGAGGTGAGAATTCTCAAAGTGTGTATTAGAAACATGGGGAGATGGTGTAGATGTTTTAAAATAGAAGAGGAAGTTAAAGGTCTAAAACCATGGAATGAAGACCACCACCTACAGGAACGTAAATGGCACAATATACTGTTGTAGATTGTAGAAGCAAAAACAATTCACAAGAAAAATGAATATTTTGTCTGAGTTGTGTGCAAAACCAAGATCTGAATGAGAGGATATGCAAAATATTTTAGATAATGCATGGTATAGTTATGCTTCATTACCAAATTGCAAGCATATTTTATGTATGATTTTTCTGTGGCCAAAGTCTTGGATAATGACCGGTTCATATGATGTGAAAGTAATGACATGAAGAGACTGGATGTATGTTAGAAGTCAGGGCTCCCATTTTAAATGTTCTTGACAAACTGGAAAAATTATCGACAGACTGAAGGGAGAATGATATTGCCTTAGATATTTGTAGCTAGAGATTCAACTGAACCCTGAGGAAAAACTTTCACATGGTCAAGGACAGCGAAGCATTAGAAGAGATCACTTTGAAGCTGCAGGGCTTTCAGAGTAGAAGACATCTAAAAACTGAACAGGGAAATGGGGCAAGCCAGTTTGGATCACAGATACAAGTGCTCCTGCCTTGGGGCAGAGTGGTGGACTAAATTACTTTTGTGAGATTCCTTTTCATTCCACCTTTCTACAGTTCTGTGAAGATTACTGAACTTTCTGAAAGTGAGAGAGAAGGGAGTAAATGAGGATACAATAGGAATGCATAAAGAGCAGTGCCATTGAAGAGTTAATTTATCTGAAAAAAAAAGTCTAGGCTAGAGAAAAGTGTAGAACAAAGGACCTGAAGACAGGATAGTGTCTGGACGCTGCAACATCTAATCTTTGTTAGCCAAGTGATGGTATTAGCCTAAAAAAAAAGGGGCAATTTTGAGAAGAGGGTAATCATAACAATTATTGATTAGCAGGGTATGAGTTCTTATCCAAGGAAGGACATTCAGTATCTTGAGCAAAAATGAAGATTGTGAGAGCAACTGTAGGATCCAAGGTTTGTTTACATTGTGTCATAAACTAACTGAGGAGTGAACTAGGGAGATGGGTAAATTATGAGTTATGAAACTCAAAATATGCTCTTAGCTTTCAGAAGTTGAAAGTGTATCCCACTCGTTTTTCAGATTAAAATAAGTTGTTCTTATGAATTAATAATAACATGGTTAAGCATTCAGCATTCATAGCGTTCTGTAATATTATATATTCTGTAGTACATACATTGACACTAGAAGGTATATATTTTCAGTAATCTTTGTAAATTATAATGAAATGTTAACTGAGTTTAGATTAGACATTGGTCAATATAGGTGTGTGTTAATATTGCTAGATATTAATGCATGGATGATAATGTTCTAAATTACATGTTGATCAGACATTCCATGACACTATGCAATTTCTTTTATTTTAATGTATCAGTTGCGGCAAGTTCTGGAACACTTGTCTCAGCAAAGCGAAAGCCAGTATCTTAAAATCCTAACAAGTCTTGCTGAAGTTGCTACAACAAATGGTCACAAACTGCTTAGGTAAGTGTGAGAGGATCATAAGTAGGTTGATAAGCTACCTGGAAGTTAGTGCTACTTAATAGTTTTAACACTCTAAACTATCTGATGCTGGGCACATGCTGGAATAGGTGGCTCTCAAATCTGATTCTGTATGACAGCATCTGTTTAGATCACTGTATTCATGAGGACTTCAGGAGAGAAAGTTGGTGGCTTTGTATAGCTACTGGCACCTAGCAGTTTGAGTTGTAGAGAAGTGTTTGGTTAGTTTGACTATGTCAGCTCTAGGAAGGAAATTGTCAGAAGTCATGGTAGCTGGATTAGATCATAGGAGACAGGATTTATTTCAGTTTCTTCAGATAAATGAAACTCATTGTATGTTTAGATTTGATTTATTACTGTTATTGCTCCTCTGTAGTGAGAAGCATTCCCTCAGCATGGCTGCAGAAACAGTGTTTATGTGTCTGTAGGAAAAGTTGGAAGCTTTGCATTGTATAGGATGGGCAGGCGTTTCCAGAGATGCCTGTACTTAGGGTGTCCTGTGGACTCTTACTGGCCCACTTCTCTTTGGTACTTTGTAATATGTCACAAGGGAAATGGAACTATTTTCTTTTTCTATTAAAAGAAACACTTTCACAAAAACTGTCTCTGTTCTCTCCAATTCTATTCCCTGTCAGAAGCTTCAATCTGTACTTCAACTTAGTATTCCTCAGTTGCTTTATACTCAATGTAGTGAAGATGAAGGTAGTGCTTGGTGAATACAGACCTCTGAGCGTGGCCCTCTTTCCACTCTCCCCTCCTTTCAACAAATAGTATGTAAAATGCAATCTGTACATTAAAACCTTCAGTAATGATACTCTGACATGGCTGAACTAGTATCATCGTCGTTAGTTTCCTGGGTGCTATTCCGCAGCCCATTGCTGTTGGGTTTGTTGGTTGCTCAGTTCAAAAGTGTCCGAAGTTCTCTGTGTAATGCTTCTAGCAGGTAGCCAGGAGTGCTACCAAGCTTCTGCTTGAGGACTTCTGCCTTGAATGCCAGCAAGGAGCCTGTTGAGTTAGCATTGCCTCCATTGTTTATTTCCTCTTTCCAAGAAATAATTGTAGCATGACATCATTTGGTCTTGCTAGTGCGTATTTGGCTTGACTGAATGTTTACAACTCTGATGATAGTAAAAGCTTCAGTAAACTATTGAAAGCACTTTAAAGTTTTCCTGTTCGTGTAAGTCCTCTTCTTGGAGACTGAGAAAATTTAAACTAAAATTTCATTTGGGAAACATTGCTGCTGAGGGATGATAAACCACCATTTAAATGTTTTTTCCAATACGTGAGGCTTTGTGAGCACGTGGGCTTTGTTTTCATAGATTCTTTTGGTGTACAAGAAAGAATTTTTTTTTTTTTTTTTTTAAATTTTATTGTATTTTTTTTTTTTCCTAATGCTAGTTTGTGGCTATTACCAAAGCTTCTAGTAATACAGTTATGGCCCACCTGCTAGGGAACTTTCATTACCTGGTTGAAAACTTTACATTCCTACTCTTGAACTGTTTACTCTTCGTTATCATTTCTTAATCTAGGTTTAGGGAAAACTTAATCTGTTTGAAGTCCAAATTGTGATAAAATAGTTGTACTTTGTATATCGATTTGGTAGAATTCTTAGTGTGTGACTTTTAGATTAACACCTTACTGTCAGTCATTAAAATGTGATGCTGTAAACAAATAAGTCTTTTGCTTTTTCTCATGACATAGGGAGAATAAGATCCTGATAAAGGTACTGTGATGTTACAACTAGCTGTGTTTTAGAATTATGAGTTGATGGATAAGTAATTGCATCGGAGGCTTACAGTGTACTCTAAGGTGTCAGTTTTCTGGTGTATACTGATCTTATAGTTAAAAAGCATGCTTTTAAGTTGCAAGTACTTTAAGGACGGAGTTGAATGTATACTCACTTTTATGATGTTTATAAGAGAGTAGAGTTCAATAGAAAAAGTTTCAGTTTATTGCAGTTTTTGTTATGTGTTCAAGATAGAAGAATCCTTACTGCTTGAGGTTTAAGGAAAGAAAACTAGGTTGAATTTGATGGAGAATATTCTGCTTGTGCATGAACTCATGAGTATCTCGGATTCTGTACAGAGTTCAGTGTTGGCCAGTTCAGTTAAGGAGGCATAAAACTTTTCATATATTTATTGCATAAATAAAAAGCATACTGGTGCTTTTATGTAGATTCTTTTAGATCATGTTTTTCTTGAGTAGAAATAGTGCCATCTTTACCTTCCTGATTCCTTGTCTAATTGAGGTAGCTAACTGGCATTTAGGATAGTAACTAGGTGAGGATGGGGTGTGGCAGCATATCTGATTAGTTGGTACACTTTTACCATTGGATGCTATATTTTCTGAGTTTAAAAACATTTTCAACTGGATATTCCAATTTGTTTTGTACATTGAGATCCTTACTTAATAAACTGAGATCCTTACCATAGTAAGTTGAATTTCTTACCAGTGGTTCATAATAAGTGAATGTGTGCATAGAAGCAAATGAAGTATTTTGCAAGACCTGGAATTTGCTATTCTTATTTCACTTCTAGTTTAAATTTTGAGTATGTGTTAGTAAAATCATAGTGCTTGTTATAGTGTTTGATGTTTGGGACTGATGCAGGAGAGAAAAGTTAAAGTTCATTAGAGTTTAAAGCCTAGGGTGTTTTTTTCAGCATGTTTGTCAGACCCTACCATTAGAGTGCTTACTCCTTAATATACTAAATGGTTTCATCTGGCAAAGAAACTTAAATATTCCATTTTTTCCCTCAGCTTGTCAAGTAATTATGAAGCTCAAATGAAGAGTCTCTTAAGGATCGTGAGGATATTTTGCCATGTCTTTCGCATTGGCCCATCCTCTCCCAGTAATGGAAATGACATGGGCTACAATGGAAATAAAACTCCAAGAAGTCAGGTGTTCAAGGTCAGGAAAGTATATGATGTTGTTAGGAAGATAGACGTTAAAGAGATGAATTTCACAAAGCATGCATTCATTAATCAGACATCTCATGAACAGGAAGTAAGTTTGGTTGATGTCTCTATCCTTTCTTAAGTTAAGCCTACCTTTTTCCTTCTCCTTAATTATTTTTTTTCCACTGGATTCATTTGATCACTGATGCACATCTCATCTTATGATTTCTGTTTATTTGTTGTTTAATGTATTGTTTATTACCCAGCTGATTTTGGTAAACTTTGTTTTTATTTCTGTTATTTTATTTAAAAGTGTAGTAATCTCAAAATGTGGTAATGTTAATATAATAGATTGTACTAATGTCATTTCAAAATGGTATTGGTATAATCATTGGGAGTTCTGATAATTCAGTTTTATCCAGCTTCACATGATAAATGCAAATAATTGAATCCTTAGTCTGTCCATTGTTTTCTCTGTGATCATGAAGTTTTTTCCCAAGTTGTTCTTGAATTTTATTATTGCATGCTTTGAAATGTACCAGCTTACTACTACCCTCGCGAGGTTACTGATTTATAGCTGTTTTCAAATACTTGCTTTAGGTGCTTGCCATTTTGATATTTCATTCCTGAAGGTTTTTCTTATACTTGTTGGTTGAGGAATCCCCCTCTGGAAAACCGTAGCTTGCCTTTCTGTAAAGCAGTTCTGGTTTCCTGCATGCCACTCAATCTGCACAGGGTGTGTAACTGACACACTGTTCAGAGCACCTTGATAATAAGAAATGAAGAGTAGTCTCATTTTTTTTTTTTTCCCCTCATCTCACTCCATCCTCCTATATGGTGCAATTCATGTCACCAAATTTAAATGGCAATGATTACATGAGAATTTTCTTTAACTTCTTTTAGGGTGTTCTGAAAATGATATTTTGAAATTACTCCATTGATTTGATAATATGATGTGTTCATTAGGTTACTTCTAATGTCTTTTAAGACAGCGCTATATTGATAAGGTCGTGAAAGATGATACTGTATTTCCAGCTATATTTAGTTATGTAGCTCAGGTTTTTTGTTTAAATCTCTTCTTTTGGAAAGAAGGAAAGCATTAGACTATTTAAAAAACAAGCACAAATATTTGCTTTTCTGATAGCAAAATAGCTTTAATAACGAATGGGTTTACATAATGAATGTAAAACTAGTGCTTGAGTATGAAAAATACTGTGTGCAAAACGTAATGCGTTGTACAGTATACAATGTAATAATGGTCCTTTAGAGTTCACTAAAATATGTTGAGCTAGATTGGCACATTGGAAGTTTAAACCAGATTTCCATTTTCAAGATAAAAAGCCCATCCCAAATCACAAGAATCATTTTATGAAAGACAACATTTTCTAGCAGTTTTAATGAAAATTGTTTTAAATATACCAGATAACAAGCAGATGTTAAATGCATTTAATACAGGAACTATCTGCCCGGAAAAGTTGTGGATGCCCCCTCCCTGGAGTTGTTAAGGGCCAAGTTGGACGGAGCCTTGAGTAGCCTGACCTAGTTGAGAGGCGTCCCTGCCCATGACAGGGAGGTTGGATTAGATGATCTCTAAGGTCCCTTCCAGCCTATGCCATTCTATGATTCTTTAAATGCTGCTTATTTGTGCGAGTGAAGACCTCTAGATACTGTCTTTACTATGTAGGATGCTAATCTACTGTTTGGTACTGTCTTCTTTCAATAATGCATCTGGAAACTTTTATCTGGAGAGGATTGAGGGTAGCAGTGGCAGGAGTTCTGTCTCGTGGTGCTCTTGTGAGATGTGCAAAGGAACATTTTCAGGCCTTATTGCATGGCATAAGGAATTGTTTCCTTCTGAACACGCTCCCATTAGGTCTAAATAGATCTGTACTTAGTGACCTATGAAGATGTATTTCATAGATCCTTTTAAAAAGCTGGTGCAAAAACATATTTTATCCAGTATAAGAAAAGAAGAAGAACTTTCTTCTGGCTTTTTTCTTAATGCTGTGTTAAGATTTTTCTGTATTAGTATACTGATTGAACATTTTTGAAGAGCTGTCACTGCAATCTAGCTTGGAAGGGATTGAAAATGTGAGTATATCTTGATCTGAGGCTACTGAGGAATGTTATTGCTTGACAAGGACAGGAAAATCACAGGGCATCTTTGCTTTACTGAAATTCCCTCTATGTAATTACAGACCTGGTCAGTTCAGGCTTATCCAACTGCTTTAAAGTGGAAACACTCACTAATTAAGACACATTCTTGTACTGCTCTTGCAAGAAACAAAATACTAGTTGAATTTCAACTCCCAATCTTGAAACAAGGTACTACTAACTCAGATGAGATCCTCCTACCAGTGAGAAACTTTTTGAATAGTAATTTTGACCAGGTTTACATTAATTACTTTTTCATGTATTGCTCTTCCAATTGCTGTTCAGTATGACCACATTAGGGAAACTTGCTGCAAAATTTCTCTGTCCGGTTGAACAAAGTTGGGAAGCTTGAAACTTTTCTGATACTATTATCTTGAGAATTGACTTCTCTGCTGTGACACAGCCACTTCAAGGATTAGTGATCTCCTGCTCCTTGTGTCTCAAAAGACTAGCTGTCTGTCACCTGGCAAAAGATTTTGCTCCAGTGTCACAGTTTGAATATGGGTTTGATTTCTAGTCCCTTGCCTTCTAGGGGAAGGTATTGCATAGCTAAATCCTTGCATTTCGAGACATGAGGTGTGCGGCTGTAAAAGCTTGGTACTTGATCACACTCATCTATAATTCCAAGGAAACTTTTCTGAAATGTGAGATATGGAAACTGAAGGTTGAGTGGAAATTTGTGTTTAATATGCTGTTTGTGGTAAGAGTTGACTGGAGAATACTGACTTGTAGTTTTGAAAAAATGTTGCTAATGGTTTGACTGAGTATTTCCATTTTATGCTTGAAAAGGTCTGATCATGCAGGCTAACATAAAATGCTGGCAGCCATGGATATAGAGGTGGTGGGCGATATTTAGAGGAGTGCTTTATGTCCTGAAGTTAGACTAGAAAAAAAGAAAGTGAAATGTTGAAGTCACTATGCTTGACTGTACTTTTGAATGAGCTTGTGATAAGAATCTGTGGAAAAACTAGCTTTGGGAACAAAAAAAACCAAAAACCAAACAAACAAGCAAACCAAAACAAAAAACTAAATTGGTTGCAAGAGTTCTGAAAGGCATGCTGAGTCTGGGAAATAACAGATAAACCACAAAATATCAGCAGAAAAATGGTGTTTGGCAAGCTAAGCATTGAAAAGTTGGGAGAAGAAAACTACATTTTAGTATTCTGGTAAATAACTGCCTAGAGTCTTGTGAGTTACACGTTAAGAACCCAGCTGCATCTTCATTCTTCCATGTATTCAATGAATCCCATTTTCCATTAGAAAATTTTTCTACATTATGTTTTGTGGTGAAGGTCTGCCAGGTAGGTCTTGGAAAGAAGCTAACATGATCCTTTATGGCAGACATTTATGCAGGAAATGGTACCTACACTGGAGGTATTCAGATCACCATCTACAGAAATGTGTGGTCACTAGGAGCACAAGGATAAGGGAGTATGATACAGTATGTGGAGCAAAGACTACTGATCTTAGAGATCAGACTGACTTTCCCCAAAATTCTTACTGCGGAAAAAATGGAAGCATAATGGTAAATTTTTTTTAATGCCAAATTTCAACAGTATTTTTTAATACACAACTTTTATGAGAAGTAATTTATTGTGTACTGAGAGCATGTTGCTGTTAAGTGCTCCAGATAGTGTAGGCTTCTCGTACGGTGTGATGTGAAAAGCTTTTACTTTTTAAAGACAACTTTGGAGGACAAGAACGTAACTTTCAGTATCTGCTAAGTCTTTGAATGCTTTCATTGGTGAAAGGTGTTGATGCAACAACAGTAATATACGGAAAAAAGGAGTGTATTTAGATGTTCACTCTTACTTCTGTAATGCTATGAAAGATAGAATTGACTCCCTGTACATCACACATCCCTGCGCTCACTAGACCATATGCTTGCAAAATGTCCCCTTAAACACCATTAAGGGACAGCACAGTCAGCCCAGCCCTTGTGTTTTCTGAAATGCTCATGACAAAGCCACAAGTCTCTCAGCCCTTTCTCTCCTCTGTAGTAGGCCTGCACCTCAGAGCAAATGTGTGATGATGGAATTGTACCAGGTTTCAATTATATTGTTTTTAAGCTGATGGTAGTGAATAAAGAGTGATTCTGTTAAAATAAATTCAAATTTTTAGCTTTAAAAATTGGTAAGTGATTTTATTGATACTTGCTTCTGTTTGACAAAGTTAGGTATTAGTGACCCTTACTCCAAGACATCTGAAGTACTGTCAAAATGGCCTGTTTGAGCTCACACTATGCATGAAGCACATCTTATTAGATATGTGAATGAGTCTGAATCTCAGTGGTGGTGTCTGAGGTTTGCTCCATCTGTGTGGTAGAGGAAGCTTTTTTTGGCCAGGGCCTTAAAAATGAACTGCCACGCTCTTATTCTGGAGAGCTGCCTGGCAGAGAAGGACCTGGGGGTGTTGGTTGACTACCGACTTGATATGAGCCAGCAGTATGCCCAGGTGGCCAAAAACGCCTATGGGATATTGGCGTGTATCAAGAACAGTGTAACCAGCAGGAACAGGGAAGTGATCCTGCCTCTGTACTCGGCACTGGTGAGGCTGCACCTGGAATATTGTGTCCAGTTTGGGGCCCCTCGCTTTAAGAGACATATTGAGCTCCTGGAGCGAGTCCAAAGAAGGGCGACTAAACTGGTCAAGGGGCTGGAAAATAAAACTTCTGAGGAGCGGCTGAGGGAGTTGGGGCTGTTTAGCCTGGAGAAGAGGAGGCTGAGGGGAGACCTGATTACAGCCTACAAATACTTGAGAAAAGATGGTGGGAGATAGGGGAAGGGCTCTTTACATTAGTGATGGGTGATAGAACAAGAGGAAATGGGTATAAGCTTAGTCAGGGGAGATTCAGGTTGGATGTTAGGAAGTATTTCTTCTCTGAAAGGGTTGTCAGCCACTGGAATAGGCTGCCCAGGGAGGTGGTTGAGTCCCCATCCCTGGATGTGTTTAAGAATAGGGTGGATGATCTACTTGAGAATATGGTTTAATGGGGATTAGGGATGGTTGGACTCGATGATCTCTAAGGTCTTTTCCAACCTAGAAATCTATGAATCTATGAAACTCAACATGTGTATTACTGTGTCTCTGACTGCAGCAGTGGCGTGCTGTGTAACAACCATGAGGCCAAACACTGTTAAATAGTTCAGCATTTCACCCTTTCTGAATCATTTTATCACTCTTCCATCTACTGCTGGATTATTTTCCTTCTATGTGAAACTTTCTTTTTGTGCTCTATGGCTACAAGTGTGGAATTTTTATGAGCGTTTGACTCGTGACTTCTAAGGGATCATTTAAAGCTTTTAAACTTGCATGATATTTGTTTGCCTTAAGAGGATTATCACACCATTAATATTATCTAATGTCAACATGTTCCTTTTTTGTCTGGTTTTGCATGTGTTTATTGCAGCCGCTGGAACTGCTCTGGCATTCTCTGGATGAATGGCTCGTTCTTATAGCCACCGAGCTGATGAAAAACAAAAGGGACTCTGCCAACATTACTTCTATTTTACTGAAGCAAAAAGGACCAGATCACCAGGATGCTACTCCTACGCCTTCCTTTGCTGCTGCAAGAACGGAGGGCAGAGAAGAGCTACCCACTGGCACTGGCGAGTCGAAAACATATGATGTTGCCGGGAAGCAGGAAGCTTGTGCTGATTGCCAGGATGTTATCTCCATGACAGCAAACAGGCTAAGTGCTGTCATTCAAGCCTTTTATATGTGCTGCTCCTGTCAGATGCCTCAGGGGTAAGGAGCGGATCCTGTTTGTTACTGAAACTGTTACCGTTTTAAAATCATATCTGCTTTCTTGGAAGAATGTTGGTGCTGACCAGATGATATTAGTGATGGTCAAGAGTATGCTTTCTAATGCTTTCACTAGTTCAATTATTTGAATGCCTTTTTTTTTTTCTGACTTTAATGTCACCAGACAGCACAGTAAACTTCAAATTTTCCATAGTGCTGCTGCCAATGAACGTAACTGCGTTGGGGCAGATTTCGTATTGAATGTCTAATGGCTCTTTTTAATCACATGGGGTACTTAGAGGAAATGTAGTTTTATCTCTGGAAACTTAGCTCTTTCTGTTGTTGGCTCTTAATGTGAAATTATCCCTAAATTTAATGTAATTATCCAACAGTAGCTATAAACTCAGAAAATAATCTCAGAAAATAATCTCAATTGTCTTTGTGTAAGAAAATGACAGCTGTGGCAAAACTTGTTTGATGATATTGCAGAAGTTTATAACAAGGAGAGTTCAGTCTCAAAGTAATGCTCACTTGGAATCCTGTCCTGGGTTGGCAAACATAATTTTGTGTGGAACAGGCACTACAACTTAGGGAAATTGAATACCATCAGTGTCTGGGTTAAAAAGTGTGTCCTCTGTAACTGAGGTCTTAGTCTGTGTAAGATTGTTATGTCTTATATTTGTGAACTTTCAAGGACAGGATCCTTTGACCCTCTTCAGTAGAGGACTAGGCAAGTATGGCGGTATTACAGGCTCCCTGAGGAATCTGAAAACAAGGTTCCCATTACATGACAACTCTTGGTTATTCCCAGCCATGGGGAAGCGCTTTTCTTTCTCTGCCAAACCTAGTGGAATAAAAGCTTTCAAGCGAGCCACTACTGTTTGTCTTGGGGTGTGGTACTGTGTGGACACTCTGGAAAATGATCTGGGGATCAGCATGTTCCACAAGCACCTCAGTATTTCCACTTTTAATTTTGCTCCACTTTGAAAAACGAACTGCTGGTTAGCCATTTCCCTTGAAATCTCCATCAAACCATGCTAAGATAAAATGCCAGTAAAGTATTATTTACAGCAGCCAAATGAAAAGGAGAAACACTTCTACAAGTGATTAAGTACATTTCCACCTCCCAATTTATCTCATCATAGCAACGTTCAGTTGGAGAGGTGACTATATCTCCCTGTGTCCAGGTGACTTGCTGATGGGCCATGCCCATTGGATCTGGCCTGTGCATAGTTTGTGATTCAGGTTAGGGAGAACTCCTGTGGATACTACGTAGGTTTAATTGAGAGTTATCATGGAAGCCAGGAGAGTAAGGACTGTTTCAGTCATAACTGGGAGAACTCCCTGGGACGCAGGAAAGTAAGGCCGAGCACACCTGAATTCCGAGTTGCTTTAGGGCATTTCAGAACTGCGTAGAGAAGTACAAAGATCTGAGACTTACTCTGTTTTGCTGAAGTTTTTGTATTAGTAGAAGTAAATGACACAATGGTGTAACTCAACACTGCTACCATCTTCAAATAACATTTAAAATGATAATGACATATTCAAACAAAATTTAAAATGGCTCTAATTTTAGATTTGAGTATCTTTAATGGAGGAGAGTAAACAGAGCTCATAGTTTTTTCATTGTTCCTAATAATCATACAATAAAGATGGCATTTCATGCTTAAATGGAAAATGAACTGGTTAACATTTGAAATACTGAGGTTATTTTCTTTTACTTGCTGTGATTGCTGCTGTTCTGCAAATGTTGATATTGAATCTAGACATGCTTTGTTAATATACTAAATAAAATGTTCCAAACATTGTATCATCAAAACTGACAAGTGTATGCTAAAGTTTTTTTTCTTTATGTATTGCGTCTCACAGCTTGTGTGGCAATTTACAGGTAGAGTTCACTTGCTTTCAGGGAAGACTCTTTTAGTAGTTTAATACTTTCAGATCATCTCTCAAGCCAGAAGTGTGTTTAAACTGTTGATATTTAGCTTTTGTGCCAATGAGGGGAAGGATATGGTAAGACTTGTTTCTTCAAAACAGAGTAAGGGAGAGAAGGAAAACAGCTGCATTTTATATAAAATGAGCAGCTCTTGTCTAAACTGGTGTGGGGAACAGTAACAATTCTAGGATTGTTATTCTGAACTCTTTAGAGTACTGTTTTTTCACAGCCTTTCAAGGTATTTGATGAGAGGGTTTTACTCTTGTTTGCAAGTATTCATTAGCTTTTGCTGAAGCTAAAGGATCCAATTAAGAATTTTTCTTTTTAAAAAATGCAGAACGTAGATATACATAAATAGGGTAAAACTTGCACCCGTGTTAGTCCTTCCCTTGTTCTCCAGATATATATATAGAGAAGAAAAAATAAGATTGCATACTAGTGTATGAGACACTTGCCTGACAAGTAATTTTGTTATTTCATGAAGCCTTTAAATAACCACCTTGGCTCTCATTAGGTTTGCTAAGTTTGTAATGTTATTTCTTCCTGACTGTCTTCCTCACTCACAACAATTTACAGGGTGCATGGTGGGAGTTATATACAGTGAACAAGAACATAGAACAATGTGCGTATCATGCATATTGTACATATAGTATCAGTCCTTCCATGTATGTACTTCCATTGCTGTACTGAAAGCTGGAAGGATTCAGTACAAAAATGCATGTCTCCACTAGTTTGAACTTTTTTGTTCATATAGTTAATAACAGTGAGTGGTCAGGTTGCTTGACCTTCTTGATTATTGGCATTTTTGCCTTTTCTATTGGTTTATTATGAAATCTTAATGCTGCTGAGTATTCCATTTCATGATTGACTAGTTCAACAACATCAGTTTACGTTTGTGTAGTATGTTATTAAAAAAAGCGCAACAATTTATGCAACTCAAATTCTTCTCAATTTCATTAACCAAAAGCATCTTATGATTTTCTTTAAACAGGATGACATCGCCTCGTTTTATAGAATTTGTCTGTAAACACGATGATGTCCTTAAGTGTTTTGTTAACAGGTAAGCTTCAAGAAATACAGAATTTCTAATTTCTCTTCCTGTTCCCCTCCCAATAATTCAAACTCTTATTCTTCTTCTTACTGACTTGTATTTTTAGGTTATTGTTGTGACATATGTATCGTGCACTTTAATGATCCTGCTAAATTCAAGGGAGTGTATATTAATGATTCAGAGCTCAGGCTTAAATGAAATCTTCTGCATGTGTAAGCAATCCTTTTGTAAGATTCTGTGAGATTTTGTGAACAAAATCTTTTTCACAGAGCAAGAGAATAATTTCCTTTAACAGATTCTTTCCTCATTTTTGTTCCAAATAAAGCTTTCCCTTGCGAGACAGATGAAAACTTTCATTCTTCCTCAAATGTGTTGTATACTTAATGACTTCTTAAAGGAGTCTAAACCATCCTTGTACATGTAGCTGTTTCCAGAGTTCTTCTGGGACTGCCCGGTTTATAACCTTGCTTCTGTCTGGAGTGCTACTTGTGATCCTCCATCCTCAAAGGGTGAGGTAGTATAAGTCATTTGGAAACAAGAGTTAGGAAAACATTACGAAATAGAACAGTTCGTTGGAACTTTTCTGTGTAACTAGTTACATTGGCTCTTTATGTAGACTTCATGTATCATGAAGCATTATTATTAGATCTCTAACTAACAGGATTCTAACCTATTTTTCTTTCAGAAATCCCAAAATAATTTTTGATCACTTTCATTTTCTTCTTGAGTGTCCTGAACTAATGTCCAGATTTATGCACATCATAAAAGCACAGGTAAACGTCAAGAGATGCTTAGTTTCAACCTCTATGACTACAAAGAGGATGTTTTGTTTAAAAATAATACTTAAAAAAAAAATATTTGAGGATGATGGATAAACTAAGCATGGCCTCCAGTGCTTCTGAATCTGGGATGTTGAAAGATCAGATTAAACTGACATGGCAGCCAGATTTCTATGCTTGTAAGTCTTTAAAATTGATATGTAAATCCATTTGAGATGACAATATATGCTGAAATGCATGGTTTTGAAAATCATTACCTAGGAATAATGAAGAGACCCTGAGAGCCAGTAACCTGTTTGTTAGATCAACTAAAAGTGCTGTGAATCATGACAGATGAGAGAGGCCACACTTCTGTTGTAACTGTCTCAGAAGAAGGGCAAAATGTCAGTCTGAATACTGAGTCAAACAAGCGAGGGGTTCTCACCTAGGAATTGTTTTGAAAGGTTTCTGATTCCTTTGGGCTGCTTTTTATTTCCAATGAACTTTACTACATGTGACTTGTGCTTCTGTGCTCAGCTGTGGTTGATAAGCAGTAGTATTGCAGAAGCCAGTGATTTGCTTTTTATATAGATGCCTTCCCTGCCCACCTGACCCCCTGCCCCACTCTGAAAGAAGTTTTGTGGTACTTTTCTCCTGTGTGGTGAACTCTGATAGCCATTTCTGAATAACTGGTGGTCCAGTCTTTCTGCATACCAGATTTCAGCAAGCACTGAAGGGCATGTCTAGTCCTTTCCTCTTCCCGAAATACTGTATAGCTTATTGAGGTAGCACCAAGTAACTCTGCACATCTCAAAAATGAATTGAGGCATATGTATGACCAATTTCCAGTTGTGCTTATGATGAAGGAATTATCCAGTTGGACACATCTATATGATATGGTTTACCCCTTGTTTTGTAGCCATTTAAAGATCGCTGTGAGTGGTTCTATGAACATCTGCATGCTGGGCAGCCGGATTCAGACATGGTGCACAGGCCTGTCAATGAAAATGACATCCTTCTGGTTCACAGAGGTATTGTGTTATAAACAGAATTAGTATGTATTTGAAATACATTGAAATGTATTGAATTAAGGTAAGAAATTAATTGGTGCTTTGTGTTTAGATTCTATTTTTAGGAGTAGCTGTGAAGTCGTGTCTAAAGCAAATTGTGCAAAGCTAAAGCAGGGGATTGCTGTGAGATTTCATGGAGAAGAAGGCATGGTGGGTAAAATTGCATGGTTTTCCTTTATGCTCTTTGTATATGGAAATATTAATTCTCTCTTTCATGAGTATTTTTTTGAACTAAATCCTAATTTAAAGTAACTTTTGTACCTTATTAAGAAATACGTGGTTACTTAGCGTAACTGTTTGCCCAGTGAAAGTTCTGTGTACTAATATGTCGTACTCTTTTGACATGCAGGGACAGGGTGTGGTGCGTGAGTGGTTCGATATTTTATCCAGTGAAATAGTTAACCCAGATTATGCCTTATTTACCCAGTCAGCTGATGGTAAGTATCTGCCTTTTTATTTTTCCTAACTTTTCCTAATTTTATAATGTCTTCTTTTTAAAAGTGTTTTTATAATCCAAGGAAAAAGAAGTCACTTAATTCGTTTCAGAATATAAGATTGTTGCTTTTAAAAAGCAACACTGACAGAATTGATCTTGTGTGTGTGTGTATATATAGAGAAGTTATCTATTCATTGTATGTTTTTATAATTACAGATGAAGTATTTTTCTTAATTTGAAGTTTCCTTGATTTTTGCTCTTTCTTTTGTAAGAGAAAAGTGAGTTGTTGGTTTTGAGTCCTTGCTATTTTTGCCTAGTAGTAGAAGGACATAACACTTCAAGAGGAGTATAGAAAGTGTTTTCCTTTCGTCTGCATCTGCAAGGGAACTGTGGACTTATTCCTTTATTTCCTTTTAGAAAACGACAAAATCAATCAGTTAATCTAGAACTGAAAGAGGGTAGATTTAGATTGGATATAAGAAAAAAATTTTTCACTCAAAGGGTGGTGAGGAAATGGAACAGGTTGCCCAGAGAAGTTGTAGATGCCCCATCCCTGGAATTGTTCAAGGCCAGGTTGCATGAGTCTTTGAGCAACCTGTTGTAGCGGAGGGTTTCCCTGCCCATTGCAGGGGGGTTGGAACTAGATGATCTTTGAGGTCCCTTCCAACCCAAACCATTCTATGATTCTAATTTTTGTGGTAAAAACAGATGTTGATCTTCACGGGTCTACCTTGTATTTGACTTTTTGTCAGAGTGGTGCCTTGGAGAGTGGCTAAGCAGTATCATTGTCACAATATAATGTCATTATGTTCTAATATTTTTCTTTCTGATATTTTTTGGAGTAAAGAAAAAAACCCCAAACAATCTTGCAGGGCCCCAAAATAAAACTCTTTGAGTGGTTTCAGATGCTTACTGTATTTGATAAATGTGAATGTCACTTAAAAAAAAAAAAGTCATGATAATCATCTTATTTTATAGGAACAACTTTCCAGCCCAACAGCAACTCTTCTGTAAATCCAGATCATTTGAACTACTTCCGTTTTGCAGGCCAGATCCTGGGGCTAGCTCTGAATCACAGGCAGTTGGTGAACATTTACTTCACAAGGTCATTCTACAAACATATTCTTGGTATGGTTTTATTAAAATCCTGTTTATTAGTCAGAACAGTTGTCTGAGCAGTAAACTTTTTCTTTTTTTACTTTTGTGTGTGTGTTGAAAGTGAAAGTGTCTCAGAAATGAATGTCTTGCTAATCTTGTACATACATCAGAGTTACAACATAATAGGGCAGCAATTGCTGTTCCAGTCAGAGCCTCACTTAGAAACTGTTACAGTCGCAAAATGTGGAAATGCATTAGCAAAAGTGTGTGGGAATTTTATACAGTTAGCAACTTTTAGTAAAATAGCTAATCTTTCAATGTATATTTGAATATGAATCTTAAAAACAAGGCAGGCATTGTTAATCTGTCTAAAGCATAACCGTATAATTTACTTGTCTTTAATGTTGCTGACCGGGAATGCCTGCAAATCAGACTAGTGCAGCCAGTTGTTGTTGTGGTGCGTGTGATTCTTTGTGTCACAGTTGTGAAATTCATATGTCCTGTCAGGTAATGTCATTCTTGAGAAATGAAAATAATAGTTCTCTAGTTAACTTAAGCCGAACTTAGAAAGTTGGTAGTGTTTACGAACTCCGGCAAAAATCGATGAGGTGTTCTTTGCTATGCCTGCAGAACCTCCCTGTCTACCCACTCCAACGTTTCAGAACTAATGCAGCTTCATCCTGTCTCCTTACCAAGGAAAGTTAATTCAGATGCTTACTGTAGCATTCAAGAGGATCAGTCAGAAATCTTTATAAAAAATGTAACTTTTCCTGTTAATAGAGAAGGGGCCTCTATTAGCTGGTGGTATCTGTGGTTTAGGGCTCTTCTCTGCTCTTCATTGAGAACTTTTCTGCCTCTTGATTGTCCAACATGATGCCTCTCTTCTGCATTGTTAGGGAAAACTTTTCCTCTTGCATGAATATGCGATAGAAGGGTAGATTCCCTTTGCCTTCCTGTTATTCCTTTAAGTACAGAAATTCCTTTGTTGCTTCAGGCAGAATTTCCTTTCTGTTTTAAGCGCTACTCCTTAACGTTCTTGGGAAGTATAAGATAGCTTGATGTCACAAGGTTTACTTTTCCGCAAGAATTGCTTCCTACTTTAACCCCAGTAAGGATTTTAAGGTATTGTTTGCGTCTCATGACGTTCTTCTGTAATTGTGCTATGTATGTGCAGTCTTCCTGTGATGTTTTCTGGGTCTCAGACAGATCATCTCTTAGCTTCAGATTTACTGTTTCTCTTCTGTGGAAGTGTTCAGGGAACACTGTTGCAGTTTGTTGATAGTGCACGCTCAGTCATCTTTGTCAAGATCTTGCCTAAGAGTAGGGATACATTTTACTTCCCTTCCTTATTACCGCTTTCTGCGCAGGAGGGTGACTGTATAGTGGGCAAAGGCGGTGGAGGACAGCGAATCTGAAGCAACCCCGTGCTGGCAGTGCCTCATCAGGCTTCCCTGGTCATTGATCTTCACATAGGGAAGTGTTTCCAAAGTAGACATATCTTTCTGTGGCACGGTTTGGCACTGACTTGAGGGTTGACCTGTGACATCAAGAGGTTCCGCTGTGTGAGCAGAAGAATGATGCTCACAGGCTGATCTCTGATATATTCACAAATGAGAGAAATGTGTTTTTCTGCTGTTTACTGACAACTTGAGAATAGTCAAGTGTTGCTCTTGTCGCCTCTTTTGGAAATGACTACTAATTAATTTGGGTTCTTTTCTAGTTTGAATCATGATTATTTACTGGATTTGTTGGTTTCTGAATCGACAGGATTGGTCTGTTGTTTACTCTTTTTTTTTCTTTTTTTTCAGTTTGCTGGAGTAACTTGTTCTTATAGTGCCAATTTAAAGATGTCTGCCACTTTTAACATTTAAGGCTGGCTGGAGTTCATCTCAGCTTACCAGATTTGTTCTTTTGCTTCTTACCCACGTATCATAAAATGGTATTTTTGTTGAAGTGAGAAATCGGCACAATATGTAAATAAGCAGTTGGCAAATGAGAAGACAGACAGTATCTCTTCTAACAGAGCATATGACTATCGCAAACCAAACAGCAGCGAGTAGTCTCTGTTAATAAGGTCTCACCAGTCTCTCTGAGTAAGGTCTTGTCAGTGTGTTGAACAGGCATCCTGCAACTCTCTAGAGGCTTGTGCGTGTTCAGTTTCTTTAAGTTCAAAAGATTCACAAGTTTTTATCATTTCTTGTTACTTATGAGATGCAGAGAACTGGAAAATTCACACCTCCACTTCCCAAAGTAGTTGTTTTTTCTACCTTGATCACTCTATTACAGACATAGAACTGAGGCAGAAATATAGGCAGAACTTAATATGGCCTCTTAAGTGGTTTGTTGGTGTGTGGTTTTTTTCCTCCCTGCCTAAACAGGGGAGGAGAAGGTAGTTTTGCTGGTGCTGTTGTCCAGTGACTTTGTACTTTTTTCTAAGGAGCCAATTACTTCTCAGTTTGGAAAAGGGAACTTTGACCTCCAACCCACAAAGGCTTATGGCAGATAAATTCCTGACTATGCTATCTGCTGTTAGACTTAACTCCCCTCTCTCACAATATATTAGAAAATACTCCTTGAAAAGGCACAAATAAAAGCAAGAGTTAATTTCTAAGTCAGTGTATTTTGAGCTGGAGGCCTTAAATCCTTGAATGCTTACTGAACTTGTCGCAGAGCTTGCCTGTAGTATATTTTTTGAAGTACTGTGTTGCACAGAAATACCTGTTTATCGCAATTATGCTAAGATAGAATTATCTTCATTTTCCAACTACGGGTGCATTAAGGGTATAGCAAGAGAAAGAGACATAGTATTTCATGGGATTCAGATTTTGTCCTGATAAATCTGAGAGTTTCTTTATAACTGCCGGACTTGAGTCTACCAATTGACAAAATATCTGTTGGCCAGATGCGTGAGCTTACTGCTTTGGTGTCACAGTATGCTGACTATGAGTGTAGTCTCATCATAACACTCTAGTTCAGTTTCTTCTCTAAAGGAGTCTCCAGTTCCTACTTTTCAGTATGCTGCTTTGCCCACATATTTTCCTTATATCCTGCAGAGACGACATTATTTCCACATTTCCTATGTGAAATGCGCATATGCTTACTAGTTGGCAAAACTGAAAGTCCTCTAGAAACTACTAGACAGCTGTTAGTTTTTTTTTGACAGAAATGACAGCAAAAATTCCTTATTAAACTAAGAAACTACTAGACAGCTGTTAGTTTTTTTTTTGACAGAAATGACAGCGAAAATTCCTTATTAAACTATCTCTCTCTCACCTAAACTAGAATGTTGCTTGATTTTTCTTTTTTTTTTCCTTTTTAAGTTAGAAAAACAGTGCCTTACAGCTTACATATGCACCATTTCAGTACTAGTCAGCTCTTCCAGGGAAGCAGTGTACCAGGTTTTGCACTTAGATGTTTGCACTGGTTGCTACCCTTGAATTTTGTGTGTTTCTCTGGTGTACTGCTTCTACAGTCCATAGCATGTTACGACCTTTACTAATGGGCACCCTTGTGACACTTGACAATGCACAGAATATGGTGAAGCAAAGAGAACTTCCCAATAATTTTTTGAAACCGAATAGTAGATCTCATAGCAAACATGATTAAAAAGAAGAAAACTGAAGAACAAATGAATTTTCTAAGTATAGAAAACTCACCTTTTTTTTTTCCCCAATTATGAATTCTTTTCTGAGGGAAAAGATTTTTTTTTTGTAAAAAGAAATATGATATTTGGGTTTCTAAAAGTTATGTAGAAAACTTAATTTTTTTTTTTTAGGAAACTCATTTAACATTGTATGTTCCATATGGTTAGATGCTTTTACTGAATTCCATTAGTGAGATAAAATTGTGCAAACTGTTGTTCAAGTGTTATGCCGTTTGCTGCACTGAGAATAGCATACAGAGGAAACTTGATTTGTTGATGCTTTTAAAATGTACTAAGTACAGTTCTGGTGTAGTTAGTTATGGTGAATCCCTTTTTGCCTTCTCCTATTTCTGCGTTATTCTGATTTCTCTCTAGAGGGCAATGTTCTACCATATTTTAAGTTAGAACCCGTTTTGCTTTATCCTATTTATTTGGGTTTTTTATCTCTTTGTGTTTTTTTTTATTTTTTTCCTAGGTATACCTGTAAATTATCAGGATGTAGCATCTATTGATCCAGAGTATGCAAAGAACTTGCAGTGGATTTTAGATAACGATATCAGTGATCTGGGTTTGGAGCTGACCTTTTCTGTTGAAACTGATGTGTTTGGAGCAATGGAAGAAGTGCCATTGAAGCCAGGGGGTGCAAGTATACTTGTTACACAGGAAAACAAGGTGTGTATACAGGTTTATTCAGAAGTTGATAGTATAAGAAAACCATTTGGACTGACTTTCTGAATAACTGGAAGCATAAAAGGTATACCTGTTTTGAAGGAAATAAGCAAAAAATTTGCCAACGTTCTTCCCCTTTTTCTAGCTTGTCATGTTATAGAAATAGTACTATTTAAAATCTCTGTAAGTGTTCAGGCCTGAGGTTTTTTCTTTCTGATGGAACTTTTGGAAGGAAAATAGATCAACTTTAAATGAAGGGTTTATGTTAAAAGTTACAAATATTCCTAAAGCTAAGTCGTGGGTATATATACCAGGCAGGTAAAACAGTTGCAATTGCTAAAAGTGAAATTGAAGGTAAGGGCGCAAAGTGCACAGCCTGCTAGGGCAGTCCATGGCACTGGATTGCTCTGTGGTAACATATGGATAATTGACAGAGTGAAAAGCTGCAGGAATATTTTTTTGGCCATTTGTGAGTCACTCATTGTGTATGGAAAAAAATCTACCTTTTTAATTTACTTTAACAGCTTGGAAAGTCCCTGAGTTCTCTGCAGCATTAGTTCAAAATCTAATATAGGAAAAGACAGCCAAATTTTGAAAATAATCTAAAAATTTGTGTTGCCCAGAGAAGTTGTGGATGCCCCATCCCTGGAGGTGTTCAAGGCCAGGTTGGATGAGGCTTTGGGCAACCTGGTGTAGTGGAGGATTTCCCTGCCCATGGCAGGGGGGTTGGAACTAGATGATCTTTGAGGTCCCTTCCAACCCTAACCATTCTATGATTCTATGACATCAGTCTAATTGAATTCTGCAGTTACTCACTAGATAGTTTTGAGTAACTGCAGAAGTACCATGGATGGACCTGCAATTTTTTGTCATTGACTCTTGATCCTTATGTCTGCTTTGTGTTTTGGTTTTTGTTTGTGTTAAGCAAGCCTAAACTTTGTGTACCGAGTATTCATTCAGCTCTACCAGTTGCATAGAGAGCTGCTGTCTTGGTAAATGGCCACTTGGTGTCAGCATTTGTTCTAACAAAATTTTAGTTTATGTTGGAGCAGTTAGCACTGGCTTCTTGTATGCCTAATCCTCATTTTCATTAAGGCAGAGTGTCATTCTAGTAACGGGAATACATATTATTAGTCTGTTTCTGCACTGTTTCCTGCAATGTAGTCATTTATGAAAGAATACAGATAGTAAAACAAGTCTGATTGTGAAGGCAGTGGATGATTAATTTCTTTATTACCTATCAGAGAAAGCAAGGATGTAGATTCTTGTTTCTGGGCAGTTGTAGCTTCTCAACATATAAAATAGATATAGTTGACAAAAATTGTGGTTTCATAACAACTATTTAAAAACTGTTATCAGTTAGCATGAAATTAGAAGTTTGCCCACAAGAGGATATCCTCGGTCATCAGCAGTTTATGCTGCTCTGTTAACTTCTGACTTGGGGCACAGACTAAGAAGAGTGGTTGAACGTGTGTAGAACAGATACATCCATTCTAGCTCATCGGCCTTCCTCAGCTGTGGCAGAGGGGGACAGGAGTTTTCATAGCTTTTATTTGAAAGGTGGTAAGAAACAGGTGACTGTTCTGATAGCTTTGAAACTGTTAATATTAATTGATTTTTGAATTTGAAGCTGCAACAAACATCTGTAAAATGGCATTGCCTCCTGTTCGCTGATTTTGACAGTGGTGAGCCAAGTTTTTGAAAATTGTAGATCTGTGTTTTAGTAGTGTTTAGGGATTTTTTTTTTCCCAATTTCTTTAATGCAATGTGGTTTGACAGTATATTTTAGCTTAGCAGTTCTAACAGGTTAAACAGGAAAGTGTCTGCTTTACTTTATAAAACACCTTTTTTTTTCCTACATGAGAGATCTTTTTTGTTTCTGCCCTTACCTGAGGAATAGAGATTGCTGTTTAAAACTCATTGTATTTGCTATACCTCTGGGAGAAGAAAACTCAGCTTTTAAAGAATTTGCTGTGTATGCACACTAGCAGATTACCCATTTACAGGATAGCGTTTTTTTAAAAAACGAACTTATGTGTGAATCTTTATTCCTTGGAAAAAATACAACCAAACCAGCAAACCAACAAGAAAACCCATGCCAAAACCAAAACACTCCCACCTTGAAATCGCCCAAACAATCGATCTCTTGTTGAAAACCAAAATAAAAGAGAGTAAATGCCCTATTGAGGAGCAGTAGTAATAGCTGTTTGTAAAAAGCTATTTTCTTTGAAGGAGGGAATTTTTTTGTGTCAGCTGTGTAATAGGTAAATGGTTGTGGGACCATACCATGCAAATGTTCCAGTCTTGCAGCTGAATCGTCCATATAGCTCCAACTGAAGTGTTGGTTACGGTAGTGGTTCAACTGTCTTTTGTCATGGTAATGAGAGATTTCAAAGGGAAAAGTCAGGCTTTCTCCAGTGTCCATGCTATGCATTTCTCTTTGTTTTTTGCTTTGTATGTTTTTGCAGCTTTCTAGATACTTTTTAGGAAAAAATAATAAAATTAGAGCTAGGCAAAGTTTGACCATACACTATTTTAGAAAATGATGCAAATCTCCACAATTGTATGGCTTTCTCTGTCCTTCCAGGCCTTGTCTGTCTGTGAGCTGCCTGTGCTGTTTGGCAGTAAAAAAATTACATATTTTTTTAAAACAGCTTTGGAATGGTGCTGCTCTCTGAATCTGAACATCATAATGAACATTGATCCTCAACTCACAGTATATGAGGTTGTGAAATCAGGGAAGCGTGATCTGTGCTTGATTTACCTCAAAGGAAAATACAGAACAACCCCTCACCCAAAATAGACTTTGTCATCGTATTTGTGATGCCTGTGTTACCTGTTTCATGTGTGTTCAATCAAATCTCCACTCTTAAAAGAAGATTGGATTATACCTTTTATGTACTATGTAGGAATGCATATGTAGATCTGAAATTATGTAGATATTTCCGTTTTGTAATATGCTCCTAAGGCTTCTGAGATGGAATAAAATGAAGTGAACAGAGGGAAAAACAAATTGACCGTTTTTTTTTTACTGGCATATATTATGTAAATTCTGTGGTGCAGGTCTTTCAGCATGCACTAGTGCTGATAGTATGCTCAGCTGTTCAAGGCTGTTTAAAACATTTCTTGTTACACCTAAAGCACAGCAACTGTTTTCTCTCGTAATGCAAGTGTTCAATGTAAATATTTTTGTAATGCAGAAAATGTTTATTGTATTTTTTCTAATGGATTTTTTGAAAATAAGCTTGTGAATTTTTCTTTCTACAGCCTTGTTTTCTGAACAGCCTAATTTATGTAACGGCAAGTCACAAGATGTAAAACAAGTATTTCTGATCATTGAAGACCAGTATTAACACTACTTCTGATCCTCATATTGCTGAAGTTTCTGATTTCTTCCTAGAGATTATAAAATGTATTCACAGAGGCTGACTTTTGTCTACTGCAGTTAATCTCCTTTGGCTACCCCTCTAATTCCTTAGAGAAGGGAGATGTCTTCAGTTCCACTGACAGTAGAAGCAACCTAGGGAGATTATTAGATTGAAACTAGATTTTTGGGAACAGCTCTGCAGTGGAAGATACGATTAGGTAATGTTCCTCTTCTTCATAGCGCTTCACAAATTATTTGTCTTCTCACTAATAAAATGGTGGTAGTGCGTTTAGAAGTATCTTCCAACTGCAAAGCAAATGACAACCCTTCTATACTTCTGTGAATGTAAGGAACTGCCTTTGAAAAATATTATTATGTTTTGAAATATTTCATACTTTGTTCTGCTTTCCTGAAATGGAAGAAAAAGGTTACTTTGTGCAGGTTCAGAACCTAAAAGTTTGGATTAATGTTTTCTAAAATTAAAAATCAAGGTAGTATTTTTGTAAGATTATAGTCTTGAAGGAAGGTGATAGTTTAGATGGTTTAATTGGGAGGTAGGTTTCGTGATTTCATTATTAAAAAACACATTTAGGAAGTCAAAGCATTACTTGGAAACTGAATACCTTAAATAATCTAGGAATAAATTTTGTTCTCAAGTAGAGATCTCTTTTCCTGAGTAAAGAAGCTTTATTAGACTTGCATAGTTTTGTCAGGGTAGATGAGATGTTTATACAGCTTTAATGTAGGCACTTTTGCCTGTCTCATTCTAAAAACCTAAACCTCCATTAACCGCCTCCTAGGCTTTTGTGTTTTCAACAAAGCAAAGTTCTGGTGGATTCCTTTTCTAACAGGCGTCTTCTGAAGGGAACCCTAAAAGGGCAAAAAAAAGCATGGAAACCATGATATTGGCTATTCACATGGTTATGGTATAAATGCTTTTCTGTTGTTTGTTTTGCTTCCCCCCCTCTTTTTAAAAACAGATTTTCAAGACTTTCTTAAAAATTGAAATTTTTATTAAGACAACAAAGCTTACAGGGATAAGTAATACATTTTGTTAATTTCCAGAGATAGGAGGAAAGCAAGAAAGCTTTTTGGCTCACGAATACTCCTTCAGAAGTTTACCCTTTTCCTGAGCTATGTCAGTTTGCTTAATAGAATATTCTTCTTTACAAATATTGTATTGTTTATGTCCTTAGATGATCATAACGGTGGTTGTATTAGATGCAGGCATGAACAATTAAGTTTTATTCACTTCCCTTATCTTAGTCGAAGTCCCTGCTTTTTGACTGTGTTATGATTTAGACGCTTCTGTTTGGGAATTGTCTTTGGAAGGAAGGAAGGGGGAAGAGCAGAAGACGCTCTGAACCCGAGGGGCCTTCTGAGTCATTTTGGGTTGCTTCTGTGTGTGAAAAGTACGTAGGGACCCTTAACGTCTTAGAGTAGATGAGATTTGTAATGTATTGAGGACTGCGTTTGCGTGCATGTGAGGGTTTGCATGAGCACTGTGTGTTTTTGCTCTTGTATATCTTAATGTCATTTTCTGCATTGCAGGCTGAGTATGTCCAGCTTGTCACAGAGCTTAGAATGACACGAGCCATTCAGCCTCAGATAAATGCCTTTTTACAAGGCTTCCATACGTTCATTCCACCGTCTTTGATCCAGCTTTTTGATGAATACGAACTGGTAAGCAGAAATGCCTATACTTTTTTAAAAATACTTTGTTCAGCATACTTCATCAGTAGTGTAATGACGTAGAAGTAAAGCTCAGTACCCACAAAATAAATATTTTGTATCTTTCACTCTGGTTTTGTTTCCTGGACATCTATTAGTGAGGATCTCAATATGTGTATTCCTGCTTATCTTGATTACTTAGAATGATCAACTTCCTGGAATGTGACAGATGCCTTAAATTGAAATTTCAAAATGGAATCAGCATGTTGTGGCCTTTAAACTTTTTCATATTTTCTTTCAGGAGTACAGAAGTTTTTTAAGAGTGAGGAGATGTTGTCTATTGTCTTTACTTTTCTGAGTTACAGAATCAAATTCCAATATGTTTTTGTGGTGGTTTGATCTTCTGTAACCAAGGTGTCTCAAGTATTGTCTCAAGTCATGCCAAAACTCAGAGCTTTTTTTTCCTTTTAGGTTCTTTGGCAATATTTTCTACCTCTTCATATTGTGTGCTTAAATTTAAACAGATCATATGAAGTTACCTGAATCTGGAAATCTTCTTGTATTAAAATTTAGTCACAGGTTCCATAAGGTTGCAACTAAACAGAAAAAGCACTGTAATTTTTATACTTCTTTAAAGCATTACTTTTTAAAATAACATAAACTCTTGAAATTAATGGTTAGTCAGGAAGACTAATCACAATCTCTGTGCTTCTTCTGAAGGAGCTTTTGTTGTCTGGTATGCCAGAAATTGATGTGAATGATTGGTTAAAAAATACAGAATATACCAGTGGCTATGAGAGAGGAGACCAAGTTATACAGGTAAAGTGTTTTTTAATAATGTAGACTGTTGCATTTTAATCCGAAAAAAAGGTGCTTTTGTTGTTGTCGTCGTTTTCTGTATGTGTTTATGGAAGCTTGTTTTAGCTGAAATTTGTGGAGTGTTTTTTTTATACTATAGTCTTATATTAAGTGACTTAGTTATGCATGAATTTCGTATGAAAATTTCTCTCATTTAAGTAACAAACACAAATATTCAATTCATTGTTTTACTATTGTCTCTTCAAGTACTGCAAGTGCTTAATGAAAAATACAAACTAACTTATTTTTCATTTAGTGGTTCTGGGACGTTGTGGAAGAACTATCTCAGGAAGAGAGAGTATTGCTATTACAGTTTGTTACTGGCAGGTGAGAAGCTCTTCTGTAACAACAAGTATATTGTTTGGATGCTCTTAAATAAGTCAAGAGACTTCAGATTGCCATACAAGATCATCTAACTGGAAACTGTTTTGCAGACTTTGGTTGTTCCATATGTTGATCAAAGTAGACAAAGCATGTGTTAATGCTTTTGCTGCCTGTATTGCCAGCAAAATGATTGATTACTTATTTATTATACTTGACTAATTTGCGAGAGGCCTTTGTATAGTTAAGTTGCTGTCCCAGGCAATTTTTAACAAGGCAGTAGTGAATTTAACTGAGCTTTATATTCTTCCTGTTGCATATTTATGTGGCTCTTGGCTTCTCTAGTAATCAATATAGGCTTTAATATATTAGATAACTAGGTATCACTTCAGTCAGTGTAAACAGAACATCCTTCTCCTAAAAGCTGAGTTGAAATTTAACATTAGTGCAGCGATCAAGTGAAGATGTAACCTTATGCGAGACCATGTTTGATCTATATAGGATTTCTCTCCTAAATCCTTGGTGTTCTTCAGGAAAAGCCACTTTTGTTTCCTTTATGGTTTGGGGGCAGTGGGGGAAAGTTGTGAGCAATAAATGCCCTTGTGAACAGGGTAAGTTGCTGAGTTTGTGTATACAGACGTTTTGCAAAGTGAATCCATAGACGTATATGTGACACCTAAGCTGTGTAATCCATGTCTTTTTCTGATGGCGGGTAGAGATCGTACCACCTTCTTAATTTGATGTTCTGTTCGTATTCTAGGATTAGTAGAGTAGTTGACCTTTTATTTATAAGTTTTGTGGTTAAGCAATGGTAAAATACAAATTAAGATCATCAAACCTTGTCTTTTATACCAAGGAATTTCAGAGTCACGGATGTACCATCAAATTACAAGGTCTTCAAATTCTATTAGTTTCACTTGATTTATTATGAATTTCATTGTTTTTAGGGATCACAGACAATTTAAGAAGCCAGTTCTGTGCACATCAATCTTTTCTTTTTGTCCTCTGCAGAAATGATTCCTGCAGTTCTAACTGCACATCTGTTGCACATCAGCTGCTGGTCTTTCATTTTTAGTGGACTAGTCCATTTCTAAATCTAGATGGCAAATAAGGATCTTTAAGATGTAAGGTCATGTTTCAAATGCTTCTTAAAACATTTCAAGTGATACCGAAGTGGCATTCACTATTTTCATGGCATTTGGGATAATCTACTAGATTCTAAGAAACGCTTTCTATCAGGTAAACAGTTATGTTGTCTGATTAATACGTGCTTGAGCACCATTCATTTTGGTTACAAATCACATACTGACTTGTTCTTACCTATTTCTTGTTAGTAGGAAAGAAATTTTTGGTATCTCTTAAGAACTGTGGGCTAGAATTAAAAAACACATTGCGTAGTTTTTTTCTGTATCAGCTAGTAAGAACCCCTTGCATTTTTTCTTCAGTGATTAAAATATAATAGGTATATTTTTGCATAAAAACTTAACTTTTGAAACTCACCTCTAATAACAGTATGCAGCTGACATTTTTGCACATAAATCCCCAGACAGTCCTAGTTTCTGGGCATAGAAGATTTAAATGTTGAGTTGTCCGTGAGCTAAAGCACCAGTTAGTCTGGTACAGGCCAGTATCTCAAGTAAAACTGTACGCTAAAAGCATACCTGATTTCAAATCGTAATCTTTTTCTGGTGTCACATTTCCTCAGTGAAGAATTTGTTTCTGTGTGTACTGGTTGGCAGGTTGCATTCAAAATTTTCATTGTTTTTTCCATTTCCCTTCTGCATATTCACTTACTTGATTTTTTTTGTGTGTGTGTGTGAAGTGGTACTATTCTTTCTTTCCAATCAAAGAGCATGAAATTAATTTAGCAAATTAAAGAAAACAATTATATTTATGGTTATGTCTTCAGTGTTTCTCTAAGTGTCCTGGTTTTAGCTGGGACAGAGTTAGCTCTTCTTTTTAGCAGCTAGAAGAGCTCCGTGTTTTGGTTTTACTCAGAGGCTCACTCTGAGAAGAATGCTGATAGCAAGCTGATGTTTGTGGTTGGCCGAGGACTTTTCAGTGTGCCGGAGTGCAGAAGCACGGTGGGATAAGGGGTCCACAATTCCCCTTGTGACTTGTGGTGGAACTTAAGATTGAGGGCCAAACTGGCCAATTAGTATTCCATATCATGCAGCGTCATGCCCAGTATAAAAGTGAGGGACAGCCAGAAGGAAGGGCTTTTGCGCTTGCTATGCTTTTGCTCTATTG